AAAGATTTTAACTCGAAAATTTACTTTAGGTTTGAGTGCACCCTAATATGCATACATATATAGAAAATATTGTACAACACTAAATATTTAAAATCTTCCATAACGCATTAGAAATTACAGAAAATTCCGGATGTCTATTAGAAGAGGTTGATATTGCAGATGAGCGAAAGTTACGCTCAAAAAATGCTTATGCGAATATGTGTATAAAATAGTTATACCTATCCTCATATAATGGTTATATTCAAAACGAGAAAGAACTGATTCGTGGGGAGCAAATTGCGCGAGTAAGCAGCGCTGCACTTTATTTCTTGACATGCGATTTTTTTCAAATACTACTTACATTTTTAAGTTCGTTATATCTTTCGAATGGAATGACCGAATCGAATAATTTAAACACTTTTTTAAAATAAAAGAACACTTTTTGTGATGTAAGTACAACAGTTAGACACATTGTACACTATTTTGTTCTTTAATCAATAGTATTTGCAGCGCACGTGATGTAAAGAATTTTTTATGCGAGTTATCTTAGTAAAATTGAGAGATCGTTTTTTTCTAATAACGGTGCATCTTTGTGTTTAAAATGAACAAAATCGGATGAAAGCTTGCCCTAGACCCCATATATTTAACAAACCTTATGCACCTGAAGATATTTTCCCGCCTTTGATTCTTGCAAGTTGCAAGAGTATAAATTGTTCGGTTACACTTGCACTTGGCCCTTCCTTACTTGTAAGACTTCATTTTATAAGTCGAATCTGCATCGACATCTGTGGTCTATAGCAAAAATCGTATTAAGCCAACCCCCACAGTAACAGTAACACCACAGTCGTCAATATGGTAAAGTAATAAGCCGTTAAGCTTCTAATTGTAAATCGGGTTTTAGGTGCTGGCACAAATCTAACCACAATAAAAACACCTCGGTTTTTACGTTGTTGTTACTGCTGTATTCTGCCCGTCCAACAACCGGTTAGTTTCGTGATTATTCATTTAATGCGATTTATTATGTCCGACTGAGTAGGGGCTGAAGCAAAGTGTGTGTATGCGTTAAGTATCTACGTAGTAAAGTACAAGTATCTGCAAGCTAAATTCAAAAGCGGCTACTAATTCAATACTAAACATCATTCAAGCGATGCGCACATTTATGGCATTCAACAAACACATAAAAGCGATTGTTGCAGCAGACATGTACTTATTTCAATAAAATATTTAATAGAATTATATAAGGCGCTTTCAGTCTGATTTTAAATAAAATGGAAATCAACTGAATTCTTGAACGAAATTGATTAGCTTGAAACTAAATATTGAGCTCACCCTATCAGTATAATCTGTTTTCATTGCAACCTGGTCCTATCGAAACTTAAGAATGCAAAATTGACTAATACTTGTACTTTCAAGACCGCAAAAATACTTAATTTTCTCCTCACATATTATGAACGTGCTTACAAATTACTTTTGTGGTCTTGAAAATTCAATTATGGTAATATTTCTGAAAAAATATATTATTTAGCATTGAACATTCTTTTTGGATACATTAATAGCATTTTAGTTTTCTGTACTTTATTTTAAACATTTTGCCTTTTCACTTAACAGACCCATTCATCCCTTTCATCTTTCAATGCTATTTATACAAGTACTTGTAGCGTAGTAGAGCGATTATTAAAGCATTTGATTGTTAATGAAATACTCAATCGGAAACGAATCAATCGCTCTGTTATAGTGTATTTAAAAACAAAAATAAATTTATAACAATACAATCTGTATAAGTATTATGTATTTATTCAGTCGTCAATAAATATTTATTGCTTTATATCCTTACAATTTTTATATCATTATTATTTTCATGGAGTTTTATGCAGAAGCAATTTTTCTAAATACGTGAGGCATAAAAAGGTACTTCATTTCCTTTTAGTTATGACTCCCATATGGGAACAGTCATTTCCGTACACGTACAAGTTTTTGAAAAAAATGTTTTATGTTCTTCAGTAAAATGTTTCAATATCCGAACGACACTAGAGAATACTCGCATTTAAAAATTAAGATATCTTTATGAACTTATAGCACAGTTGACATTTTTAAATTTAAAGACAGTAATTACACTTTAAAGTTTTTGCTACAGAGTATAATAGTTCTGTTCACCTAACGATTGTTTTTATAACTTAACACTAATATAGAAAGATATATAACCATATAAATGGTCAAGATGACGAGACGGAGTATCCACCAGTACGAAAACGGATGAAATCGGACTATCACCGCGCCAACTACCCATGTAACGGTTTTGTTAAAAACTGCTAAAAGTTATCGCATCATAACTAAATTTTTATTTGTGAGAAGGTTTATTAAAATTTGGAAAAAAAATTGATAATAACAGCCTTTGTGCCAAAGTTATCAGTGTTTCAAATTTAAAATTTTAATGCAGTTGTGCTCCATTAAATTATTGAACCAGACAATAGTTATTTCATAAATAATCTATCAATGTTATTAGGAACAATATGTATGTATATATTCTGCCTTTATTCATGTTTTCTTATCTCAGTACAGTAGTATTTTTTATTGCTTATTGCTTCAACGGATATACAAATGTGTGAAAGTATATATTAATTTTGAAATTTAGACGTTTTAATTGAAATATTTGTGATAGTTACGAATATTTTTTCAGACTTTCTGTTGCTATTTGTATATTTATTTGCGAGTTTAGTACTCATCCTTGCTACTATTCGCAACTTATTTATTCCAAAACTGTTGAAATGATAATAATTTGCTTGTGTGCAAAAAATCGTTAATATTATGTAATAAAAATGCATATGCAAATTTGCACAAGCACACTATAGATACAATGCATATAGGTATGTATAGATTTACATATCCATTAAATTTAGTTTCATTAAAAATAATGAATAGGAATACTCAATTGATAGATTTTAGTTTTGGTTAAAAGTGAAGCATTCTCATATTGCAAATCTATATTTTACAGAGCTACCAGTACAGTAGTAAGTAAAGTTGTAAATTAGAACCTGGCAGATATTGCTTTGCCAAACCTGTTAATATTGAACAATATTGCCAATTCTAAATTATCAAAAAAATAAAAATTAAACCAAATACTCATGATAAACTTATAATAATGCAACGTTTAGGCACAATTTGATAACGATTAGGACATTCATTATAATATATGAAAAAATTTCAACAATGTTCCAAAAAATGGTACCTTCCAACAAAAACTTATGAAACGGAGATTTTTTCAAAAATATATTTTATATGTTTGGCCAAGTGAAATAGTCGCTAGGAAACCAAACCTTAAGGATAAATATTTCGTTATATATGTACATATATTCAATGTATTCATACATCAAAGGTCAGAAACTACTAAAGAATACATACATAAGTAATCTGAATAAAATAACATGCTGGCAACACATAATACATCAAAAGCGATCGGCTAAGGTAAAAAGTCGGTTTCCAGGCACAATGCCTAGAGTATTATACTCACGCTGGACGTCATGGATA